GTTTTCTTGTTCATAGATAAAGTCGTCTACCGTTCCTTCTAAGAGTGCAAATCTCGGCATTTCCTCCGCCATGTTTGTCATTCAAGTGCAAACTCGCGCTCGCCGAGTATCTTTTGATTGATATTTCGGATGCCAAAATGAAGCACAATCGTTCACGCTTCTGATTGGACGAACGAGAGTGAAAAATAGTCGTTCTCTTTTCTGATTGGTTGAATGCATATTTGGTACGAATTTTACGCGGGCTTTTTATCGTGGATAAATCTTAGTACGTATGAAATAATAACATGTTATTTTCACTTGTGAAGATATTAATTTTTCGAAATAGAGAAAAATAGATATTTCATTGGTAATTATATAATAAATATAAGTATTAGATATTTAAGGTATACATCTAGATATAGTCCTAGCCTTGAGTTGACCATGGTAATATTGGATATAAAGCCCTACAAATTACAAAGAAAACCGTGTCAAGTATGAACTAATTAACTTAGACCGACTATTTTTTCCCTTATTTGCACTTATAACTGGATATATGTGCAAGGGTTTCTGGTAGTAGGCGTAAAATTACGCCAACATGCAAACGTCCTATTATCTTTTAAATTTAAACAGAGAATCACTAAACCGACTAGATTTTTCGTATTTAACAAAGCACAAATCTTACTCGTTATAAACGAGAACCTGCATATGCATGTAAAAAATGATAGAAAAGCTTACCGATAATAGAACCATTAACGTTATCCTGGTTAAAGACGACATCAATAGAAGACAACCTTGGAGACCATGTGACGTTTGATGGCGAACCACGGACAGGGAACATTTGTGGAGTTGGTTTCTGTTTGCCATAACTAATCTTGCAGTCCACAGGATTTCCTAGGAATTGCCAAAAGATAGCAATACTTTTTCAATGGTAGATGTTATCATAAAATGTAAAAAGGGACTCAACGACTCAAAAATCCCTAATATGAAAATATCAATTAAACACCCGCTTTATTGGTTGATCTAATAATAGAAGCTAATGAGTAATCCTTGTTATCGTCAGCCAACATGGCAGCTATGATGCAATATATATATATTTAGGCAATGCCTAAAAGCGGAGCTCCCAAAAGCAGAGGGAGGCCAATTTAGATAAAACTGAAAGATGAAAATAAAATCCATCGGGCAAAAAATATTCAATTTTTTCTCTCCATCGAGATGAAGAAAACGTCCCCCGTAAGGGAAACGATGAAGTAAAAAAATGTTTTCTTCGCACGAGTCTTTGTTTTCGACCTTAGTACTCTCCCACTTAGGAATTTTGTCACGTGTACACAACCCACCACCGTCCACCTCAGGGGCTAGTCTTGTTCTTGAAAAATTCTTCTGCAAAGTTTTCCATGACCGACTGACATTTTTACGCTTTGAATTCCTTGTTAATTTTACTTGAAACATTAAAGATAAGTATAGATAATCCAACAAAATGTCAAGTTTAGTGAAATTTACTTTGTATGTCTTTCATTAAAATCCAAATTTCGGAGATTTCCTATACTTTTATGGACAAATAAACACGGCATATAAAGACAGAATAGAAAACTGCTTAAAGAAAAGGTGTGCAAAACATAAGCTTACTTTTACCTCTTTTACATAACAATGTTTGGTTATCCATGAGGAGTTTAGGTTTTTGTAAGAACCATATTCTTACCGCAATGAAATTAAGAAAATAAATGATTAGGTAACATCAGCGAGAGAAACTGATTGACTGAAAATCATTGGTTAACTAAACTTGTGAAATGAAGGCCCTGAACGTTAAAACCAAATGTATCATCAGTTCAAAATAGTTTTCTGATTCCTAATTCTTCAATAAAATATTTTTATTCCTTTTGTGTAAGCCTTAACTACTTTTCGATAAGCCTGAAAACATAAGCTGTAAATACTAGGTTTTGAGATTCGATTTTAATTCGATTTTTTTTTTTTTTTTTTTTTTTCCCTTTTTTTTTTTCCACACGGCATATTCATATTACAACACTAGGCCAGGTGATCTCGCCTAGAAGCGCGCAAATAATTATTTGTCAAATTGAACAGTTCCTAATACCAAGTCTCCTATTTCATTATATCTCACGGTAATAAAAGTGGTGGCCGGTGACTAATAAAAACAACACAGATTTTACTTACTTTCATTACTTTATTTTTATTAATTTTAACTTCTGAGAGGAAGCTTTTGTGGTACACGTACAGGACGTATTTTGAAAAGTTTAAATCGAAATACGACTTCATTTTGAAATTCATCATGAAACTTTTGGCGATGCAACAAAAATGCTTGTATTTGGTTACAGCGCTCCTCAATTACACGCGCGAAATCGTGAAAAAAACTTTCTAGACATAATAGTTATTTGGTGGACGCCAATCAAAATGTTGCCCAGCATTGTCGGATTAAAAACACAAAGTTTTCAAGGGCACTTGC